GTGGGACTGGCATAGAGGTAGACATATATACCAATGGAATAGAATGGAGAGCCAGAAATTAACCCTTACGTTATGGTCAAATGATTTTTGACATGGGTGCCAAGACCATTCAATAGGGAAAAGATAGTCTCTTCAACAAATGGTGCTGGGAGAAGAGGATATCCACATGCAAAAGAACAAAATTGGACCCTTACCTAACACCATAAACAAGTACTAACTCAAATGGATCAAAGATCTAAATGTAAGACCTAAAACTATAAAACTCTTAGGAGAAAACAGAGGACAAAAGCTGCAAATCATTGGAGGTGGCAACGATTTCTTAGATATGACACCCAAAGGCATAGACAACAAAAGAAAAATGACAAATTAGTCTTTCTGAAATCTAAAAATCTTGTGCATCCAAAATACTGTAAACAAAGTACAAAAAATGGGAGAAAATATTTGCAAATCATATGTGATAAGAGATTAATATCCAGAAAGTATAGGTAACTCCTAAAATTCAACAACAAGAAAACAACCTAATTCAAAACTAGGCAAGGGACTGGAATGGACATTTTTCCAAAGATTGACAAGTGGCCAACCAGCACTCAAAAATATGTTCAACATCACTAATAATGAGGGCAATGCAAATCAAAACTGCAATGAGATGCCACTCCACCCCTGTTAGAATGACAACTATCCAAAGAGGCAGAAAACAGGAAGTTCTGGTGAGACTCTGCTGACCCTGGAAGCCTTGTGCACTGTTAGAGGGAATGAAAAATGGCACAGCCCCATTCTGGAAACAGTATGGTGTTTCCTCAAAAAACTAAAAATAAAACAACCATATGATCCAGAGATTTCCCTTTGAGGTATAAGAATCACAAAAGAATTGAAAGCAGGGTCTCAAAGAGAGATTTGTACATCCATGTTCATAGCGGCATTTTTCACAATAACTAAAATGTAGACGCAAACCAAGAGTTCATTAGCAGATGAACAGATAAGTAAACTCTGGCTTATACATGAAATGCAATATTACTCAGCCTTAAAAAGAAAGAAATTCTGACATATGCTACAACATGGATGAGCCCTGAAAACATTATACTATTTGACATGGGCCAGTCACAAAAAGCCAAAAGGTGTATGATTCCACTTAAATGAAGTACTTAGAGGTAGAATGCAGCCTGGTGGTGCATTTGGGAGTTGGGGGAAATGGGAGTTTGGGAGATGGGGGAAATGAGGAGTTTTTATTTAACGTGCGTGGAATTTCAGTTTTACAAGACAAAAAGTATTCTGGAAATGGATGGTGCTGATGATGGCACATTATGAGCGTATTTAATCCTGTTGAACTGTACTCTTAAAAAATGGTTTAGATAGTACATTTTACATTTGTGTATTTTATCCCAATAAAAAAATGGGAGGAAAAAAACCCTGAAGAACCATATAAATATAAGGTGATGTTATTATTTATTACCAACTTGCTCTTTTCTAACTCCGGGCAACAAGAGATTGAATTAAATTGGCTGGCTACTCTACTACATTGGTATGGATTTTTATCTCACCATCAAGCTTCATTTGCCTCATCAGAACTTCATATTCAGGACTCTATATTACAGTTCACAGCAGAATCCATAAATTCACAGATCAGGAACACATGCTTTTGGAAACTCCAATTGTTTCTCTTTGAACCCCGGTGAGCACATGGAGTTGTTGGGCTCCAGCATTCCTGTGCATAGATTTGTGGTGCAGACAGTCTGCAGGAACTGCTTAATGGTGTTGGTGGCCATCCTCATCCCAACCTCTGCAATGGTTAAGAGAGGGTTTGAATTTTTTTTACACACATTTCAAAAGGCACCTTTATGTTTTAAGCATTATGAGTAACTAGACCAAACAAGGAGAGAAATTGAAGTGGTGAGAAAGAGGTCTGAAAACATTCTGATTCTAAGAGATCAGAGTGATTCTGGTCTCGTTCCATCACGAGCGAGTCACCATTTGGGTGAAAACTCCTCCAAGGTTAGAGTGTTTCCTGGAATCCTGTTTGTTTTTATCCACCCATCCCAGTGTGGAAAGATCAGATCCCTCATGTCTCCTACAGTTGTAAGACAGATGTACAAGCATTTCTCTCTGCAATCCATTTTCCCTCTGCTTGTTGACTATCGATAATGCTTATTGAGAGAGAAATCACATGCCATAAATTGAAAGTGTACAATTCACTAGTTTTTAGTGTATTCATAAGATTATCTTTGTTTTGTTTCTTCTTTTTATTTCCTAGGGAAAGGAGAGAGCCTTTGCTACTCACTCATTGATTCAATGTGTATTTATTGAGCACATAAAATATCAAGTACAAATCCCTGCCCTCATGGAGCTTGCATTCTAGTGGAGAACACAAACAATAAATAAGTAAACTATAAAGTATGTCAGTGGCAATAGTAACATAAAAAAAAATAGTCGAAAAAATAGGGTGTACCAGTTGGTGGTAGGTGGGAGATGGATTATAAAATTAAGCTAGGTGATAAGGAGACATCTCAAGAGAAGATAACATTGAAGAAAAGACTTGAAAGAAATCAGGGAATAAATCATGTTCTCATCTGCAGAAAGGGCATCCAGGTAAAGGAAACAGTAAGTGCAGAGACCATGAGATGTGTGTTCTAGAAACAGCCAGGAGGCCAGTGTGCCCAGACCTTAATAAGTGAGGGAGAAATGAGGTCAGGGGGCCACATAGGGTCATAAGCCACTTGTCAAGACTTTGGCTTTGATTCTGAGTAAGGTGGGAAGCACTTTAGAGTTTTGATCTGAGGAATGCTGTGAACTGATGTACTTTGAACCGGGTCATGCTGGCTGTTGTGTGGATCGTGGAGTCAGAGGGAGAGGGAGACACCTTGTTAGGAGACTGGTTGTGTAACTGTGTGTAAGCCTGAAAACACGTAAGTTGTTCTGGAGCTTCTCAAAATAGTAAAAGACAAACAAAATATTACTTGTTATCACCCTATTTCTAAAACATAACCCAGCTACTTAAGCATCAAATTGCAAATAGATTGTACACATGGTTTTATTTCTATTTTGAAACTAAAAACTGTTACCTGCCTATTATGTAACCAGTAGTCAATTACCTTTATTAGCAAATTTAACACATTGCAATTGTTGCTGGAAATTAACAAAATCATCAGTTCTGTTTGAGGTTACTCTTGCTGCCTATTTTAATTGTTTGTAATAAAATCTTTCATATACTAAACAGTTTTATTTAAGTTAATTGTATCAGGTACTTGTTTTACTACCTTGACCATAATTTGATCATTGCTTTTTATTAATAAAATCTGCACAGTCCTGAATCTAAATATTGGATATAAGCTTGCACTGGACCTAGCTAGTACCAGATTGTGTATTCAATTCTCTACTTTGGTGGAAGATTAACACACAGAAATCAACAAATGCTACAAGTTGGGGCTTTTTTTTCCCCCAGAGAGCAGATTTAGCAGCATACCATGGGGCATAGTGGCATGCAGGGTGTGAATGCCAGATTTAGGCCACACAGCGGTGGCACTAGGCAAAGAGGATGTAACGGGAGCCATCCACCCCAGAGGGTGGGGGTGCTTTATCATTGGCATTGCTTGGAATTGCTAGCTTATAAAGAAAATGAAAAGCACACCAACCTTAAGCTTTACATTCTCTAGACAAGGTTCTTCCTTATTGCCCGTGCCCAGGGCAGATCCTTCCCACTACTCCTGCCCCCAATCTGGTCCTACTGACTGCCTGGTCACCATGGGTGTGACCAGAAACTTATGTTAGCCTTAGTTTCCTGAAGGGATCATAAAATCTACCACACTGGCTTATTGTAAAGATTCAAGACTATATAGAGTACATAGTATATGCTCTATGTAATGGGTAATGGTAGTATGACCAAACCTTTTAGGGTTTCCTCACAGCCTCAAGAGAAGGAGGAAACCCCATATAGATCAACAACATCTTCATATCCACTCTGCTTCCCAACCTCTGAGCTCCTGTCAGTGCTGTTCCTCCCGTTTGGGGCCACTTCTCCCTATTTCTGTGTGTCCAAACTGTTTGTCTTTCAAAATGACGCAATTGCTATCACCTCTAGGAGACTTTCTCTTTTTCCCATGGCTGACATAATCTCTCCTTCCTCTAAAATTTCCTGGCTTCTTGGGGAATCTCTGGCACTATCCCGGACCTACTGGGATTAGAATCTGCATTTTAACAAGATCCCCAGGTGACTCCTATGCATGTAAGATTTAGGAAGTCTTGCTCTAAACCACTGGTCCTCAAACTTGTCAGCATTGGAATTACCTACGGAGCTTTTAAAAAACTTAACGCCTAGACCCCACCTTAAGAGATTCTGATTCAACTGGTCTGAGGTGCAGCCTGGGCATCAGGGTCTTTTAAAACTCCCAGATGATACTAATATGCATCAAAGTTTGAGAACCTCTGGTCTATAAACTCCCCTTATACTCCCTTATGGAGCCTGCACACTTTCTAATGTTAAGGTTATTTGTGTCTATGTATGTTTACCCACTTCTAGTAAACTGTAGATCTTTTAAAAGCAAGAACTATTTCTTTGCTCAATTTTTATCACCTCCTCCCTAACAATACCTAGCCATATAATGGGAGTTCAATAAATATTTGTTGCATGACTGATGAATGCATCATTTATTTGTAATCTAAAAATATTCTCTCAATACCATAAGTGTAGCTTTTGTCCTAATTTGAAGACTGGTTGAACCTATTCCCGAAATTATGGAGTCATTTCCTTTTCAGTTCTAAGGAAAGACCAAATCTCTGAAGAATGGGGGCTGGTGGCTACAGTGGGATTTCTACCTGAGGATGGACTCTCAGGGTATCAGTGAGGCTGGCCACTGCCATCTCTGTGGGCTCCTTGGAGAAAGCTGCAGCTTGGAATCCGGAGACCCCAGGGAGCAATGCAAAATGAAGGGGCCCCTCCCCATATTCTAAGCGTCCAACTCATAACTCTTGGCTGAAATGTGATGATGTTATTGTTTCTTCCTCTCTAGGGTGCCATTTTGATGTTTATGGGGATTGTTGTCCTCACTATGAAGGCATCTGTTATTGAAATGTTCCTTGGTAAGTACTTCTATATGTGTATCTGGATACGCTTTTAACATTTTCCTAAGGTCCACAGAATCTTGCCAAGAAAAGGTTTAAACCAAGACAGAGCATATAAACAGTACAGTGTATCTTTTTATGATAAACATTTTAGAGAGATGTTTAAGTGAGAATGTTAAGTGTAGATCAAATTCAGGATGTACGTGTGTATATATTTTTGTATAAAGCAAAATTACGTATCACATGTGTGTACATATTACATACATATCTTGCCTTCTTCAGCAACTAGCAAATGTTTCAGCTGGAGCATATTTACAGATTCTGAAGTTAGAAATCTTGTTTCTTATTTCTCAAAAACAAAAAATTCTTATCGCTGACATGGCCTTATATGTACCATTGGTGACTCATGCTTTTAGAGAGGAAAACCACGTCCATGATCAGCGGAGAACACAATTTCGGGTAGGCTCTCGAAGAGCAGCACCTCAACCAGAAGAGAGAAAAGGATTGATGGGCTTAGCATTAAGCCCAAGGGTAATCTTCTATTAATCTTGACCCCACTGTGCCCTGGCCGTGCCGGATGGAGCGACCCTGTGGATCACTGTGATACTATCACCAGGGAAGGGTGCAAAGACCTTTTGGGCGGTCTATTTGTTTGCTAGGGCGCCACAACAAAATACCACAGCACAGTTATATTCGCTCACAGTCCTAAAAGCTAGAAGTCCAAAACCAAAGTGTCTGCAGAGTTGGTTTCTTCAGAGGGCAGTGATGGAGACTCTGCTCCATGCCTCTCTCCCAGCTTCTGGACGTTTGCCGGCCATCTTTGGCACATCTTGGCATCACCCCAATCTCTGCCTGCATCTTCACATGGTGTTCTTCCTCGGTGGGGCTGGGTATCTGTGTGTGTCCAAATTTCCCCTTCTTGTAACACTAATCATAGTGGATTAGGGGCCCAACCTACTCTAGTACGACCTCATCAGAACTTAAATAATTACATCTATTTCAAAATGAGGTCACATTCGGTTTTGGGGGCTGGGACTTCAACATATGAATTTAGAAGGGACAAAATTCAACCCATAATATAGTCAGAATGTTCCAGGTCTGTGTGGAGGGGGTCTACACAGCAGAGTTGGGGAACGAAAGAGAAAGAGGTGACACTGGGAAGGCAGGAGGGCACTCACACAGTGGAAGGAGACTAGACAGGGAGTCGGAGGGACCATATGGGTTCTGGTCCAGACTGCCCACCAACCTGCTAATGAATAGTCACCTTGGAGCTCAGGCTCCTTCATTCCCACCTTGTCCTTTGAGAGGCTACCACCTCTCACACTCCCCCATTGGTTAGTGCGTTTCTTACATAGGGCAGGAGGGGAGTCAGAAATAGGAAGGGTTTAGCTCCTATAAAACACACAAAGCAAGCAAACCCTGAGGCCCATTTCATACTCTGCGTGTCCCCCATATCACAGAACCAAGAATGGAGACTTGACTGTCCTTCCTTGTCCCTGGCCTCTCGCAGCCTGCCTTTCTGCAGAACTCTCTCCCCTCAGGGCTGCTCATTCAGAAGGCGAGAAATCAAAGCAGGCAAAGGAGACTCCTGTCACACAATCCCCTCTCTGTGTCCTCACATGTCTACCTCCCCAGCATCTCTCTTACTCATCTGCTTGTCTCCATCCCATGGCCATTCCCCTGTCACTCTCCTCAGTACTGGGACAGCCTCCCTGACCCAAATCCTGACCCCTCTAACTCCTTCTCCCCCACACCCCAATTAATCTCTCTAAAGACCATGTCTGACCACCACTCTTGATTTAAACTCCTCCGTTCTCCCCTTTGTCTTTGGGATGGAGTCCACATCTCTAAAAGTGCCTTGCTTGCTGGGGAGGCCTTCCTGATATAGCCCTTGCTGTCTTCTGCTCTCCTCACTCCCCACAGAGCCCTCTCTGGTTTCCAAGGACCTGAAAAATACTGACCTTGTTAGTCCCCCGGGGCTCACATCATTTCTCCCCTCTAGGCCTTTGACCATGCTGGGTCCCTTGCCTGGAATGTTCTTCCTCTCGCTCCCACACCCCCACAAGCCCTACTGGTTCTCAGGAAGCTTCCCTCCGCCCCCCATTTGATCAAGCCATCTTCCTAAGGGCTTCCATGGTGCCCTGTATTGATTCTCATCATAGCTGCACGGTGTTCACCTTGCCACTAGGCTGGCTCCCCCAAAGCTGTGAACTCATTGAGGGCAGGAGCTGTGTCCTGCCCATTGCTGCATTTTCAGTGCTAAGCACATCTCATAGGTACTCAAGAAATATTGTGAAATAAATTATTCTCAGGGATGCTAGATTTGTAAGGTATCAGAGTCCAACTCTGCACCTAATTCCTATGTGTGGGTTTTTGCTCCGCACCAAGCGATTCCTCAACACCAGCTGGGTGTCCTACAGTTCAACTCAATTCTGACACTGTCTACCTGGAAACAGCATCAAATTCCACTGGCTAAAGGCTCAGTCCCACAAGACTGCCACACACACCCCCCACTTCAGATGCCAACAGAAAGTCCAGGTTGTCACTGTGCTTCTGACTGGCCAGAAATCAGAGGTTCCCATGATCCCCTCTCTGGGTTTGATGACTTTGCTAGAGTGCCTCACAGAACTCAGGAAACCAGTTTACTCACGACTATAGATTGCCAGTTTATGACAAAGAATATTCAAGAATACAAACCAACTGCCAGATGAAGAGATATATGGGGCAAGGTCCCAAACAAAGGAGCTTCTGTCCCTCTGCAGTTTGGGATCCAGCAGAGTAGCATATAGAAGCATTCTGATTCATCAACATGGAAGCTCTTTGAACCCTATCCTTTTGGGTTTTTTATGGAAGCTTCAGTACATGGGCATGCTTGATTAACTCATTGGCCTTTGGTGATTGATTCAACCTCCAGCCCCTCTCCCCTGCCCAGAAATCAGAGAGTGGGACCAAAACCCTCTATTTGAGGTTGGTTCCCCTGGCAACCAGCTCTCTCATCTTTAGGGATTCCCCAAAGTTATCTCATTAACATAAACTCAATTGTGATTGAAAGGGGCTTGTTATGAATAGCAAGACATCTATTTCACCTTTATGGATCTGATTTCAGGAATGGAGGACAAGAAACAAAATATTATAACAAAAGATACCCCTATTGCTCTTATCATTCAGGAAATTTCAAGAGTTTGGGGAGCTATGACCTAGAAACTTAGCCAAAAGACCAAAATATGTATTTACTATGAATCAAATATCACACAGTACTGTCCAATGATCCCCCCCAAACCCTCTAAATTAACGTCAATTAAGTGTTTAATATATATCAGAGCTAGCATGTTTGTTTTTGACATCCTTGAATTTAAGAAACAGCAGAGTTTTAGGCTGTCTTTGGAGCGCCGTGTGCAATCAACAGCTGCGCTTACGGGAAGCAAGTGGAATGAATGAACAGGCTAAGACAGGAGCCAGCAAACTTGCAGGCTGGTTCCAGCTTCTTCCCCTGAAGAACTGCAGCTTTAATCACGGTGGTAACCTTGACCTTTGTGTCCTTTTTATAAAATAAAAGGATAACCTCCAAAGCTCCTCCCAGCTTTAGTATTCTGTGATTTGAAGCATAATTTTATGATTTATACGATTGTAGAGAATGAGTTGTCCTGTCTTTGCTATGAAGCTCTGATTTATATGATACTAGATGTTTCATTGAGTACATAATACCAAATTAAAGCATGGGGGAAATTGGAACCGCTTTAAAATGATCAGCTTTGTAATTCAGTTTACAGGAAGGCACTGTGGACACTTAAAGAGAACCAGAGCTGGAGAGTGTTTAAAGTGGTAAAAACAGATTTTAATCAGGAACTACTGCAATAGAGGGGATCTCACTATAGAACTGGGCACAATTCCAAATACAACAAGGAACACGGAGATTTGTATCCGAGCAGCAGGTTGCAGGGGTCAGTGGATGGAAATTACTGAGAGAAGACATCAAGGGTGGGGGATTCTTGCTAAAGGCAGACCACGGTGATCAGATATCAAGGGTAGGGATTCTCTCTAAACAGGATTCTTGCTAAAACCGGGTGATGCAAGACCAACAAGGAGGAAGACTGAAGCCCAAGGTCAAAGGCCAGTTGGGAAGAGGGCTTGGAGGAGCCCCATTAAAGTTTGGTCAAGGAGAGAGTCTTCATCAACACCACTAGAGTTGGTATCTTGAGGGGCCCTGGAGTTTATGGGCTACACAGAGGCATTTCTATAAAAGTTGTAGACATATAATAAATTTTCAGTAAGTACTTCTTGATTCAGTCATTGATTAGATGTCCTGGCACTTCATGTCTTTCTTGAAAGTAAGTGAATTCTGATTAAAATTCATTACTGGCCGGGGGGCACCTGGGTGGCTCAGATGGTTAAACGTCTGCCTTCAGCTCAGGTCATGATCCCAGGGTCCTGGGATCGAGCCCCGCATCGGGCTCCCTGCTCGGCGGGGAGTCTGCTTCTCCCTCTCCCACTTCCCCTGCTTGTGTTCCCTCTCTCGCTGTGTCTCTCTCTGTCAAATAAATAAATAAAATCTTTAAAAAAAAAAAATTCATTACTGGCCGGAAGACTGGGATACGAGTGCCCATTAACCATATTGATGATTTCAGTATGCACTTTTCATTGTCATAAGTCTATGGGATTTCAATATGACCCAATTAAAAAACAATTTATCTTATCTTTTTTAATTGTAAAAGAAACATATTCTCTATAAAATATGGGATTTATATGGAATATACTATAAAATGGGAAAAATACACAAATATAAAATAGAAATGACAATGCCATCATTATTACCATTTGGTATGTTTGTTCTACTTATTTCTCTCTGCATATATTCTAATTTTGTCAGAATCATCCTTCAGTTTAGAGCTGAGCATTTGCCAGTTCATCTAGTATTCTTTAACACATCATTTGTAATAAATGCTCAGAATACCCCTACTGTTGGGACATTTCCAACATTTCATTATTTCCAGATTGCCATTATAAATAATGCTATAGTGAACATTTTTTACAGAAATTTTTGGCATATCTCTAATTATAACTTGGGATATATTCCTAGGGGTATAATTTCTAGGACAAAGAATGTAACTATTTTTAAAGCTATTGAAATATATTACCAAATAGCTTTCCAGAATGACTCCACCTGCTTAGCTTCACCAGCAGTGTACCTAAGTGCCCTAATCTCAAATCCATGCCAGGATTAAGTATAATCTTGTGTTCAGTATTTACTGACATGATATGGGAAACTATCCCGTTGTTTGGCTTTAGCTTGCATTTTTTACCATTAATGAGATTGAACATTGTTTTAAGCTAATTCATTTGCATTTCTCTATCTATAAGCTATATGGACGATAATTTATTTCAATTGAATTTTAAAACAATTATGCCTCAGCCACCTGAACTGTACGGATGGCTACTCTAGAGAGGAAGAGAGTGAGAAGTGGGAGGAAATCTTTTATTTGAAAAAGTAATTTCAACATTCAGTTTGTGTTGAAATTTCAAGCACCGCTGTCAAAGGGTGAGAACTTCAGTCAATGTTATTCAAAACTAAAACACCGAATTTTTAACAGCTGAGAAGTATTGCTGCAAATTTCATAAACCATGATTGCCTTGGAACTTTGGACTCTAGACTTAATTTCCTCAAGGCTTCTAGACACTAATGGCCTAGTAGCCTGATAACTAGCAACTCCCGCAGAAGGGAATGGCTTTCAGACCTGTGGTCCACTTTGTACTTGGAAGTGAGTATCAGTCATCCATCCCCGTGCTCTGCCTGGCTTCCTAAGAAAAGCGACACAAGACTGATTTTTCCCTTTCCCGAATTCAACATTCAGTTCATACCTCAGCGTAGCCAGAGAAGCCTTACAGATGAGAAATGAAGACTCCGGGGCACAAGCACATTTTCAGCCTATTGACCAGCCCTCCCCTTGAGGAGTGGTTTCTGGGGAGTTTTAATGAACAAGCGTCTAAGCCTAGGAAAGGGCCTCTGTGTACCACTGAAAATAATGACTTTATTAACCACTGCGGTAAAACTGAGCCCAGCTATGTGTGTTTGCAGCCTGCAGGGTCATGGGTAAGCAAATGCGAGTGATGGGGTGGTCTTACTGAAATATTTATAGTCCTAATGATATGGAGACTTATAAACCACTTGCCACAGGCAGAGGCCCAGAAGGACCGTATTTGATTTTCCAGAAGAATTGATACCCAAGTTTATGACTATTTCAAATACCCTTTCTAGTTAACTTGCTTAATTTTCTTCTACATATTTATTTAGTATTTGTTCTTTAAAATATTCTAGGATTCGTTGTTTTTGTGTATAAAACGAAGACGTGTCTTCACACAGAGTTAAATGACACAGAGACTACTATAAAAATTAGACCTCCAGGACACACACCCACCCAAACCCCAGAAATAAATAACACCTAAAAAATGTCTGCCTTCATTCCGCTTGGCTCGACTTGTGGTTCCTACTCAGTTCTCTTTCATGTGTCTGTTCTTGCAAGACATGGTATGTCAGCTGTCCAGCCTCAGCTCATGCTACTGGTCAAAACTGGGGGCAATTCACGAGCTGCACAATTGGTGCAGACTAGCTAGATAATCACAAGATAAATAACAATTTTCTTAACAAACCCTGGTGGCATTTTCCTTCAAAGTTATTTGCCAATCAAGAATTCCTAATTCCGGGACGCCTGGGTGGCTCAGATGGTTGGGCGTCTGCCTTTGGCTCAGGTCATGATCCCAGGGTCCTGGGATCGAGCCCCACATCGGGCTCCATGCTCAGCGGGGAGCCTGCTTCTCCCTCTCCCTCTGCCTGCCTGTCTGCCTACTTGTGATCTCTCTCTCTCTCTCTGTCAAATAAATAAATAAAATCTTAAAAAAAAAAAAAGAATTCCTAATTCCATTTATGCCTAAATTGAATATCTGTGTTGTGATAAACACACACACACACACACACACACACACACACACACACACCACGAAGTAGAATGCCTGTTTTGATTACTCTATCGCTCCATGGACTCCTCTGGAGTCCCAACCCTACCCAGAAAGTGAGTTTCTCAAAAAAGTGGCTAAAATAGAGGCAAGTTAAGCAGTGGGTGAGGTAGAAGGATGCTTGGAGAGGAAGGAAGAACAGAGAATTGGCTAGCCTTTTGAAAGGAAAACATTGCTTTTCCATCTACAGGTAGAATTAGCGTCGGGACAGAGACATGAGCATTTTCAGACGTTACTACTAAAAAAGTGCTATGAGAAATGTTCACAATACATATCGAAATTCTAAGTGGGCATATATTCCAGACAAGAAATCTTATTTGGAAATTTATTTAAAGGAAATAAGGGTGCCTGGGTGGCTCAGTCGCTTGGGCGTCTGCCTTGGGCTCAGGTCGTGATCTCAGGGTCCTGGGATCGAGTCCCAGGTCGGCCTCCCCGCTCAGTGGGGAACCTGCTTCTCCCCCTCCTCCCTGCTTGTACTCTCTCTCGCTATCTCTGTTGCTGTCTCTCTCTCAAATAAGTAAATAAAAATCTTTTTTTTTTAAATAAAGGAAATAACAAAGGATCAGGACAAAGAGGAAGCTATTTATATTAAGTCAGAAGTTGACTAAAGTATGGTACATCCATACATTGCAATCCTTTCAGGCTCTCAAAATTACTGCGAGAGGAACATTTAATGACAAGACAAAATGTTTGTATATATCCTTAAGTAGAAATAAGTTAAAAAACATTGTAAACAGTGTGAGCATGACCAAATAGAAAAAATGAAAATATTATATCTTTTATGTTCATCTATGTTTTCTGTACTGTTCCTAGTGTTTTTTACATTCTTCTGTGAGGAACATGTATTATTCTGGTAATAAGAAAAAACTGGTCAGTGTTATTTTTTAAAAACACAAGGCTCAAGCTGGTAGTGCGACTTTGAACTAAAAAGGATAAAGAGTTCCCCGTTCTTCCTCTGTTGTTATACTTCCTCAAGAGAGCAGTCTCCCAAAGCTGCTCTGTTCCCGTTTCTGAGGAGGAAGGTCAGCTACGTGCAGTTGACCTTGACGGGGTACAGAAGCTGGTGCTGCTCCAGCGGACCACCAGGGGACACTCTGGTCTCCCTTCAGACCCTGTGACCAGTCCCCCTCTTCTCCCCGGCCCACTTTCCCCATGTCTTCCTTTCCCAGACAGCCCTCCCCTGGGGCTTTTCCATAGCCTCTCCCTTCTACCTTCCTTCTCTCCCTCACACGCACACATACGCATGAGCATGCGGCTCTCGGACCAGTTGAAAATTAGCCATTTGGAACCCCAGTGTGGAGAAGAGGAAGGGCCCAAGAAGGGCTTGGGGCTCACCCTACCTCCATCGTTTATTTCTGGCACCAAGCAAATGAGTGTACTTCTCGGGTCCCCCATCTCCTCCTTTGGAGACTAGAGAGGGCAGACTTGGTGTGGTGAAATACAAAGCAGCAGAACAGAGGACAGGTGCCCAGGAGGTGTTTTTGGAAGGCCTCCTTCAGCAGGGGCCAAGATAAGTACACAAACTATTCATCTTATTTCCTCAACCTTCATTTAAGGGAACATTAGTTCCACCTATGAGACTATTTTAACATGTGATGGAAGCAACAATAAGGGTCAGAAGAGAGAAAGTGTTTGGGTAAAATGATATTGATGAGATTTTCTTTCATTTCCTCCATGTAGTTTTGCTGGCGACTGGAATACACTCAAATAAAGACATGACTCAAATAAAGAAGATCAAAAGGCCCAAGTTCGGTAAGGAAAACTGCAATTCCTCATTAGCATAAGGCTTGTGCCTTCCATGTAGAGGGCTGTTGTTCTTGTTTCAGATAATTTGGAAGGTTTGGGGACTTTTTGTCTTACTTCAATTGCTTTGCATTCAGACGGATTAGTTAATGATTATTATTTATCACCTACTTCATTCCAAAAAGCATTTGAGATAGGAGTGCTGATTTTAGGTGAAAGATATGTGGTTCCATTATATTGGAACATTTCAAAATGCACGTACAAAGACCAGGCAACACCGTGTCTCTATGGCTAAGCTGGAGTAGGTATTTTCTTGCCATTGAAAATGTCAATTCCCCATACGAGAAAATTTAGTCTCGCTAATACAAATCTGCCCTCCTTCCAGCATGCTCTGGGATCAGAAGGTAAATCTCACAGCAAAGCCCAGAAGGTTTCACACCTAATCAGTGGATAGAGGAAAAATAAATTTCATTTTTGGATGGTATATCAGTTAAGATTAGATGACAGGAAATCTAGAATAACAACTGCTTAAATAAGACTGAAGTTTCTTCCTCTCTCCTGTAAACATAGTCAGTCTGGGCTTTTATGGAAGCCTCAGAATCTTCAGGGACCCAGACTCCTTCTACCTTGTCATTCTGCTTTCCTCAACATGGCTCTCAACTCACTGTCCAAAATGTGTGCCCCAGCTCCATCCATCATGTCCATGTTCCATTCGGTAGGAAGGGATGAAGAAGGATGTATACCCATCGCTTTAGAGATAAGTCCAGGAAATCAAATATACCACTTCTCCTTAAATACCACTAGCCAGCATTAAGGGAGAATGGGAAATGTCTTGATTTCAAGCATCCACATGCCTAAGCTACAAGTAAGGGGTTGTATTACAGGAAAGAAGGAAGAATGGATATTGGAAAATCACTAGCAGGACAGGACATAGAAGGAAATGCTCACATTCAAATGCTGTAAACACACTGAGATATCTGGACCTAAATTTGTAGACTTGATGGAGGCTTAGTTAAGGCATATTTATAAAGGACCATAAAAGAACATCAGCAACATTAATAATCCAAAATAAAAGAAAGATATTTGCTTCACACACCATTCTTTTTTCCTCCTGTTCCTTTAAACCCTCCATGTGGGATTTCCTGTTGAAATGAGACCAAAAGGGCAGCCAGCCACAGCCTCCAAGCCTAAAATACTAAAAAGGAGTCCGTTGCTTATTTATTCCTGTCAGTACCGAGAGCCAAGAGAATCAGCCCAGGGGCAGATGTGTGTTCAAAACAATGACTGGGTTAATATGGAGACAAATGCACACCCAAGTATGAATTCCTTTGGGCTGTTTCCAATATCTTCATTAACTCATATACAAAAATCATGAAAGGTTCCATGATTACCATGACAACGGTTTTCAGTGACTATGAAAGGCTGTGCTAAATGACCCAAGGGCAAACCTCTTTGAGAGATCTCAAATGGATTGAGTTTCTGATATGCTAAATCCTAACCTTATACTCAAAATCTCCCTGGTGATGCAGCACATTTGAATCAATAAATGCATGAGGCCTTTTCTCTAATTAGAAACCTTGGCACAATCATTAAATAAGGGGGTGGGGGGGAGATACAATGAAGGTAATAGGATATTCCCAAACCATGGCAGTATCTGATTCTTTACCTCAGGAGTATTGACAACTGACAGTCTATAGCTTGAAGCCAAAGCAATTTTCATTTTTTCTTTTTAGTGTTGTCAATCTGCCACTGGGGTAGGTGACTGATGGCAAGGAGGCACACCATTCATTCATTTTACAAGTATTTACTGGGTGCCCACCAAGTACCAGGCACTATGCTAGACTCCCAGATACAACAGCAATTGAGACTCAGCCTTTGCCCTCGCAGAGCTCAAAATGTAGGGAGAAAGAAACACAAGTCACCAGGCAGCTAAAGGTACTCCAGGAACATGGAGAAGAAGCTGTATATCTGGGAGGGCTTCCTGGAGGAAATGACACACCTACACTGATATGTGAAGACCAAATAGGTATAGACCAGGCAAAGATGAGGAGGAAAGAATGTTACAAGCAGAGAGAAAACAGCATGCTCAAGGCCTGGAGAGTGGAAGGAGCTAAAAAGTAGTCCAATATGACTGAAATCTCGAGTAGGAAGTGAATGTGTTGAGATAAGAGATGGGGGGGTAAGCAGGTGTGGGCTCGTGGAGACCTTTGTTACCATGTCCAGGAATCTGGACTTCCTCATGAGGGCAACCGGAATATCTCCGTGCAGGTTATGTTGGTTGCAGTTAGCATAATAAATCCAAAAGGGATTTTTGTAGGACATGGAGCGGCTCGCGGCGGGTTGGCAGCTAGAACTCAGTGGAACTGTACCCCAGATGACAAGCCCTCAAGAATCAGTACCTCTGCTTCTCTCTGCGTGTCTGCCTCACTGTCTCCCCTCTCCTCTCCCTGTCCCTCCGTCTCCCCCACTCCCTTCCCCCCTCCCCCGGCCCCCGTGCACACTGTGTCTCTCAGTACTGAGTCCACATTCCTGGGAGAGAGAACCTCATTGCATCATCCCAAGCTGCAGGGTGGTTCTCAGAGAAGAGTAAGCTGGTTAGGGTTGTGCTAGGGAAATAAGACCATCCTGCCAACCAAAAAACCCTCCCTGCCAACAAATGAAGAGAGAGGAGAGAGAACGCCATTTGTTAGTGAGAAAAAGCTTGGAGATTTACACGCATACACGGGTACGGTGAAACTGTCTACCATGTCTGAGCGGCATCTCACACAAAGGGGTCCAGCCAAGTAGGGGACAGAACAATTATATCTCTTATCTCCTTGAGAGATGATTGTGCCTGTCTCCTGTATGCCTGGATGCCCCTGAGCTCCTTCTGGAGGTAACGTCACCGTTTTACTCTTACAGCTGATACCTCAGAGTGCATCTTACAGGGAGCTGCTAAAGGGTTTTAAGCAGAGAAGGGAAATCATAAAAGCCAGGCTTTAAACAAATCACTCTGGCCCCGGTGTGAGAACAGCCTGGGCCAGTGCCCCTCAGTTCCTAGACCGGCAGCACCTGCGACCTTCTGCCCGAACCCCCCACCCCCACCCCCACAGCCGGACTGCGGGAATCAGACCCACTGGGGCTGGGGTCCAGCCCTCTGTGTCTTAGCAAGCCCTCCAGGAACTCCAGTGCCTGCTGACATCCGAGAACCCGTGGAGCAGAGAGCTATCCCAGATCAGGGTTGCTTCCAGATCCGACTGTAAAATCACGGGTACCCTTCAGTGCCCTCTGACCTCTCCTCTAGCCAGCCCTCCACTGGCACCAGTGTTCCTGCAAGACGGACGGTCCTCACCACTCAAGAGGACTGGAGGTGAAGTAACAAGAAGAAAGTGATCGGAGAGTTCTGGTCGGTGGCCACTGACCCCTACTACGCATGCAGCACGGCTCTTGAGTCTTGAGGATCTAGTGCCCAAGACCCAGTGCCACGAGCTGGCAGAGCCAGATTGGAAATGCAGGTCTGTGTGAGGTTCCACCCCGGAGGCTGTTCCCAGTCCCTCTGCCAAGCCAGCCAGGGCTGCCTGGAGGCAGAGAGGGTGTGGGATGATCACAGTCTGACCGAATAGGAAATAGAGTAGAAGAGCTGTGCAAATAACAGGAAAGGAGGAACCAGCATGGGTATCTTCCTTTGGTCTGGCCAGAAGCCATACACCATATGAGTGCGTCTATTCGGTGTACAAGTAGGGTCACTTTGCTTTAGGCAACTGTCACATTCTCTCCCCCATACTTCTTTTCTATTTCTGTTTCTTCTTATCTCCTTTTCCTTTTTCCAATTCTTTGGTCTGCCCATTGCCCTCCCAGGGGCCCTCATGGACATCACTCAGCTTCACTGGGGGCTCTTTGAACCAAGAAGGTAGTACATGTAGAAAATAATCTCACATGGGGGGGTTTACAAAAGGGAAAACAAAGATTTAAAAAGAAAGAGAGAGAGAGAGAAAGAGAAAGAAAGAAAGAAGAAAGGAAAGAAAGAAAGAAGAAAGAAAAGGAAAGAAAGAAAGAAAGAAAGAAAGAAAGAAAGAAAGAAAGAAAGAAAGAAAGAAAGAAGAAAGAAAGAAAGAAAGAAAGAAAGAAAGAAAGAAAGAAAGAAAGAAAGAAAGAAAGAAAAGTTCTTACAAATCTCTTCCTTCCTTCTTACACATGCCCATTCATTTCAAGCTGATATTTTGCTTTCCCATACACAGTTGTATTGGGCACAATGTTATTCCACCATACTTGGCTTATCACCACTTCATTTTCTAAATCAAATCAAGTCGAACTCCAAACTGCCAATTTCCAGGGGCTGAGAAATTAAAATTCCATCATTACAGGGGCTTCCTCCTTCCCCGAACAAGCCCCTAGAAACCTTGTGCAGTCAACAACATCCAGGGAGATCCCCTGCACTGCTCAGTGTCCAAGCCCATGTTACCTGTAGAAGTTGGGCACTCCATTGTTATCTGAATGGTGGCATCTTGGGAAAGATGGGGCAGTCCCATGCCTAAGGCTTCACCCTGAGGGACACCACCCCAGGTATTGCTCCAAGATGATGCTCCTCCAAGGCAGCTGTTAGGGAACAGGATCATTTCCCTTACTGGGACCTACCTGCCCACTCCCACCTTCCCAGTCTTAGATCATTTCCTCTCCATCACTCTTTGGACCAACCAAGCCCAGTGCCCTCAAACAAGGGGAATTTGGAGAGGCTAATTCCCAATGCCTGAGGGAGAGTTTTCTTTGGGCAACTCTGCCCTCTCTCTTGCAACCTTGAGTTCCAGAGGTGTTTAAAGACAAATGCCTGACTACCTTCTTAGAATAGTATGAAGGAGTGGCACCTGGGTGGCTCAGTCACTTAAGTGGCTGTCTTTGGCTCAGGTCGTGATCCCTGGGTCCTGGGATTGAGCACCATATCGGGCTCTCTGCTCAGCGTGGAGCCTGCTTCTCCCTCTCCCACTCCCCCTGCTTGTGTTCCCTCTCTCTGTGTCAGATAAATAAATAAAATC